AAATTTTTTTTTTTTTTTTTTGGCTGGGGCTGGGTTTGAACCCCTATGGCATATGGGGCCAGCGCCCTATCCTTTTGAGCCACAGGTGCCACCCTCGAGAAATCATTTTTCAATAAACAGCCTTCTTGGGTCTTCTGATTAACTAAAGAACACATGCTCAAGGTAGCCATTTCAAATTTATAAAAGTAAGTATAAGGAAATAAGGAGAAAGCAGTAAGTGACCATCTTCCTGTCTGATCCTAAAGTGCACAGAACCATGGCACAGAAGTTTGTTTTAATATCCTGGACTCTTTAGCCTTTTTGTTTCTCTTTTAGGGAGAGATTCCCTTTTCCTTCTCCCTGTGGCTCCTGCAAATCATACATAAATTTCTTGGGTTTTTTTGAGACAGAGTCACTATGTCACCCTTAGTAGAGTGCCGTGGCATCCCAGCAACCTCAAACCCTTGGGCATAAGTGATTCTCTTGCCTCAGCCTCCTGAGTAGCTGGGACCACAGGGGCCCGCCACAATGCCTGGCTATTTTTTGTTACAGTTGTAGTTGTTTAGCTGGCCTGGGCTGGGTTTGAAACTGCCAGCCTTAGCGTATGTGGCTGACGCTGTAACCACTCTGCTATAGGCGCTCAGCCCATACATAACTTTCCATAGTTGCTCAGTGTGTATACAAGTGACAAGAGTTTAGAAAACAAGATGTCAGCTGGGTTCCCATAGCTAAGTGGTTAGGGTGCCAGCCACATGCCCCCAGGGCTGATGGATTTGAAGTCAGCCTGGGCCTTTGAAACAAACAAACAAAATAGCCAGGTGTTCTGGCGGGGGCCTGTAGTCCCAGCTGAGGCAAGAGAGGAGAAGGCTGAGGCAAGAGAATCACTTAAGCCCCAGAGTTTGAGGTTGCTGTGTGCTGTGATGCCATACCTCAACAGAGGGCGATAAAGTGAGATTCTCTTAAAAAACAAAAACAAGATGTCCAGGCAGCAGACTTGCCCCAGTTAGGGAGGTTGTTAGGGATCGGGCCAGGGAAGGACTTAGGAAGGGGGCTTGTTAGGGATCGGGCCAGGGAAGGATTTAGGAATTAGATTAGGGATCTGGTCTGGGAAAGGGTTAGGGAGGAGGCTTAGGATTCAGGTTAGGGATCTATCATTGATAGGCTAGGCAGGGGGCTTAAGAAGCAGGTTAGTGATTTGTCAGGGAGAGGATTGCAGAGGGGGCTCAGGAATTAGGTTAGGGATCTAGTCTGGGAAGGGGTTAAGGAGGGGGCTTAGGATTCAGGTTAGGGATTTGTCATGGAGGGGCCAGGCACGGGGGTGGGGGGGTGGGGGTTGCTTAGGAATCAGATTAGTGATCTGTCAGGGAGAGGATTAGAAAGTGGGCTCAGGAATTAGGGATCTGTCAGGGAAGGTACTCAGGAATCAGGTTAGGGATTAAGTCAGGGAAGAGTTTAAAAGGGGGTTAGGAGCCTGGCCCTGCCAAACAACAACGGCTGCAACCAAAAAAATAGCCGGGCGTTGTGGCAGGCACCTGTAGTCCCAACCTCCAGCTACTCTGGAGGCAGAGGCAAGAGAACCGCTCAAGCCCAGGAGTTGGAGGTTGCTGCGAGCTGTGATGTCACAGCACTCTACCTAGCTCTAATCAGGGCAATAACTTGAGGCTCTGTCTCAAAAAAGAGGAAGAGTTTAGAAGGCTGGGGGCAGTGGCTCTCGCCTGTAATCCCAGCACTTTTGGAGGCTGAAGCAGGCAGATTGCCTGAGTTCACGAGTTCGAGACCAGCCTCAGCTAGAGCCAGATGCTATCTTTAAAAATAACTAGGCAGGGGTCAGCGTCTATAGCTCAACCGGCTAAGGCGCCAGCCACGTACACCTAAGGCCACGTACACCTAAGGTGGCAGGTTCAAATCCTCAGCCCAGACCCACCAAACAACAATGACGGCCGCAACCAAAAAATAGTCGGGCGTTGTGGCGGGCGCCTGTGGTCTCAGCTACTCGGGAGGCGAGGCAGGAGACTCGCTTGAGCCCAGGAGTTGGAGGTTGCTGTGAGCTGTAATGCCACGGCACTCTACCCAGGGGGACAGCTTGAG